TACTTGGCCACATGTCACTTCACTTTCACTTTCACTTACACACTCTCACACACACACACACACACACACACACACACACAGAGAGAGAGAGAGACAGTTTAGAGACCATCTGTTTATTCAAACATCATAGAACATTTCAGCCCCACACTGCGTTGGTACTAAAGCTATCAGAGAGTTTCTGGTGTTGCTTTTAGCCGTAAAAGTTGCTGGCGGAGATCCAGAGACTCTTCCGGGAATAGCGGAGGAAGGAGGTCTCATCATCCTCATCCTCACGGTCATGCGTGTATTTGAGTGGGTTGGAGAGAGTTGGAGTGGGTTTTCAGGATGGAGGTGATGGGAGGCAGAGCTTGAGGATCTCTCCGGGATCCGCGGATGAAGGAATGCGCGCCGGACTTGCAGACTTTCTCAGGTAAGATTCAACGTTTTGAATTCAAAATCGGACGTCTTGGTGTAGCCTACATCGTTTCGTTTTATGCTGTAAACGTCGCAGAGAAGTTGTGTTTTGTTTAATAAAAAAAAAAAAAACATGTCTAATTAATTGAAATCATGAAACTTGTTTAATTTAAGAGCAATTTATTAAAAGTTTAACAAAAAATTACATTCCTAGGGCCCAAATTCTGTGCTTTCCATTAAAATTTTTCTGTATTACATTTTAATGGTTTAATCTAAAACATATCTAATTAAATGAATTCATAAACACAACTTAATTTATTAATGTGTATACAATAACAGGGCCCTATGAAATTGTATTATTTATTTTGTATTTTTATTTATTTATTTATTTTATTTTTTACTTTAGAAATTCTGTGTTGTGTATTTTAATTTTTCTGGTAATAAAATGAAGGCAAAAACATAAATCTATCTTTTATTCCAATGAAAATCAAACCAACCCTTTAGTTTTTGTACCTGCGTCAGTCATTCCGTCACATTCCGCGATACACAGTAAATTCCGTTTCTATTAAAGGATTCCGGGATTCCGTCCCTGTTTTCTGCATCGCGGAAATAAACACCACAGCAACCACTGAACGCACATCTCGTATATAAAAAGCATTTGAGGGGGCCCTTGGCTTTTGGGGGCCCAAGGCGGTCGCCTACCTTTGCCTAATGGCTAAGTCCGCCTCTGATTATACTACAAAACAGCATATAGTCGTAATCACATTTTTTGCTGATGTTTAACACTCCTGCATGCAGCCAAATGCTAAAAATACTTTAAAGATGTGAATGCACATGCATGCAAACCAGTCACAGATTTCCCAGCCCACTGCCTGGCGCTGACATTCGCAAAGCTGATTTCTGAGCCTCATCTGATGGGATTGGATTAGGAGCGCGCTGTGGAAAGCTCTGTGTTTGGCTAATGGAGTTTGTTTTGGAATTACGCTGCTAAGAGAGACACATAAACACCATCAGCAGCCTTTCTGTACACTGTATCCTCATTA